CCATCTGGAAATCTGTTATCTATTCGAATAATAAAATATGAAACGGAAAAGGTCAAATGAAGTAGCTGGGTTAGACAAAAAAAAAAAAAAAAACGGGCAATAAATCTATTATTCCAGAATGCCCAGTCAAGAGTACTGCTTCGTCGAACACATACATAAATTAGTCAAAAGATGATATTTTCAGGGTAACTCTGATAAAAAAAATTGGTAAATGATTTTAATACGAAATCTACAGAATAAAGGGATACAAAAATATTACAATTGTATAATCTTCAGATAATTAGACCATATATCATTTTCCCACATTTTATCGTTTTCTTTACTGATCATAAGTACATTAAACTCTTTCCTTTAAGTTAATGGGTGCTATTTGAGAATTATTTTGTGAAGTTACAAACAATAACAAGGTAATAAGCAGATAAATTGCTGAGTGTAAGGTCAAAGTATAATTATGTAAAAATTATGTGACTTTGTTTGTTTGACAAAAATTATAAATAAAGTGATGTCACTGATTATTGAAAGATGTATTGTATTTTAAAAAAGCCGGAAATGGTGTGTAAGGACAGGAAATAGTAACGATTTTAAGATAAATGTGCATATCAAAACTATCTCAGTAGAATCATTGAAAATCAAATTATTTCTATCAAGATTGAATATTTTTTCTTCTAGCTCATCTATTTATGGAAATTTACAATTCACTCGAAAATTGTTGAAAAATATGAATAAAAAAGATGAGTCAATCGCTTGTTTACAATTCTACAGCAGTAATCCTTTGCCATCTATGTTTGTTCCACAGTCTTTTGTAAAATTGCTCATTTGAAATGAATATTTTACACTCCAGAAAATTCGACGATTCTATTTTTTTATAAGTTTCACTTTATATCATACTAAAAAAAAACAATGTGATCAGTTAAGATTTCGTATAGTCATTTTTTTTTTCTTTAATTCAGTTTGTTAAATTAAAATGCATAAATAAAAAATGCGAAACTTCCTTTTTTTTCGGAATAATTTCTAGCTTTGTAATATTTTCTTGAAAAGACAAATCGGAAAAGTCATGAATACCCATCTTATGACTTCATTAGAAACAAGAATGTTAACAGTAATTTTCAATGAATGATATGATTTAGATGTATTAAGCAGAAATGAAACAATAAAATTAGAAATGGAAAAAAAAAAGAACGAAAAAAAGACAAACAAAATAAGTTAATTGAATGCAAATTGAAAATATAAAATGAAAATAATTTAACTGCACTCCAAGAAAACGATGAAAAAATTGTAAATTTAACATAACTGTAACAAAAAAAAAAAAAATAGAAGGAACGATCATTTAAATTTGTTGAAAATCTTGAAATCAAAAATGAGTAGAACAAACATTACATTAGTAATATGTACGAGGAAAGAAGGATCGATAATGGCCGTAGTGTGACCGAAGAGACCATCTTATGATTGAAATTCGGTAACTTTCAAACAACATTTGCATCTGATGGGAACAAGGAAGCAATATAAACCGACGACTGTGCTCACTTCTTCTCTCCTTCAAATTTTCAAATTGCTGAATGGACACTAATAATGACGCGTAACTTCTGCCAATCGCATACGATGTACTCCCATCCCGGATTTATCCATTTCAAACAAGAAGAAAGGAAACAGAGGCGATATTCGACGGATATTTCAATAGCAATTACGCAGATTAGTGAAGTAAAGTGTTACTCTAAAGTACCATGAATTATCGAGAATTGACGATATATATGCTCATCAAAAATGACGCCAATCTGAAATTTTGAAAAGGATTACAATTAAATATCAGAAATCGACAAGAATCGAAATTATAACGAATTCATTTGACCAATGATCAAGTTAATAAAGGCAAATCATCTACAGGATGAGATTTGATGGTATTCTAGTTACGCAATACTCTTGGAAATAGGATAGGAACCAAAAGAAACATTAGCCATATGTTAATTGCATCAGGTAGTCAAACTAAATAACTGACTAATCAGGACGGAATGGAGAAGAGATAATTTGCATCATTTCCGGAAGGTTACAAATATTTAAATCATAATTTAGCATTGGTGACGAAGAGATTTCAATATTATTGATAATCACAGATAAGGGGAGAATTTAAAAAACAACAATTACAAGGTCATAATTTGAAAGAGAATTCAAGTGCGGTCAAGAAGAAAAAAAAACAACTGTAAAGGGGTAGCTTCATTTACTACCACCATTTCATAAATCATTCCATAAATGAATGCAATATGTGTCACATGTTGTCACAAATTTAATTTTCTTAACTAAAGTAGAAAATTGATTTTTTTTTTTAGCATCCATTGTTCATTTCGTTTTTTTTTCTCCTTTTTTTTCCTCTTTTTTTTTGCTAAATTTAAAATTACATCAGGATAACTGTTCAATTATCAACTAAACATTTCCTTTATAAATTATGGAAGGAGAGAAAGTTTGCAATAATAAATGAGTCTTCAACCATAATAAATGATAAATGAACTAACAGAAAGCAAATAATTATTTAATTAATTGGTATTTTGTTGATGGTTTCATTAAATGTGCAACAAAGGAGAGAGTACCACATAATAGCTAAATGGAATGAAATTTGAAAGAGATGTGGTAACAGTATTAGCGACCCGTGGTAATGCTGTAGAGATGGATAAGGAAGAGAGGTTGAAGAGGTAGGAAGGAAGGATTAGGTAGGGGGAAGCAAAGATAGATTGGTGCGCATTTATTGCGGCGCTTCGGGGTGGGAAATGCAGAAAGAAGATTGCAACCCGGGTCAAAAGTCAAACAATAGCCGTGCTGCAATTGCTTCTACATTCCGAAATATTTACATATGAAGCAGCGGGCAGATAGATATAGCGGCAAACTTTTTGCAATAGCAAATTTGATAATAAACAAATAATTGTTGTGTTTCATCGAAATAATAATAATAACTTTCTCTCTCTTTTGTTTTTGTTTTTATTTCAAGTATTTTAATTTTAACTTAAACTTTTACACTACTTATTATTATCCAACGAAACATACATTATTGCAATTTAAGAATGGCTATTGTAATTTCTGTAATTTAGCGAATGATGTGGTTTGATTGAATATAAAGGATAAAATGGAGATTATATTATGGTGGTCTAATCGGAATTTGAATCGATCAAAGGGAAAACGGATAGATAGATTGATGGGACAGATAAAAGTATCGAAAGGAAGGTTTAACTTTAAATTATTAACATTAAATAGAAGAAAGGAAATGGGAAAAAGAGAGAGGGAAAAAGAAAGAAAGAAGGGAGAGAGAGAGAGAGAGAGAGAAATAGGAGACATGAAATTTTCCCGATGAAATCACTAAATCTACATAACATTTAAAACTTACATCATTTCATTGGTCAAATACAAATTATCATTTTTCGTTGTAAAATTTCATTCCATTTCAGTAAGGCAAATTAGGTTGTTTCTATTCTCACATTGTTATACCAAAAATAATTGACAAAAATGACCTTTTTTTTATCTCTCATTCGAGCATTGTCAACTATGTTAATGTAATCTAAAGAAGTATTTTCTGAATTAGTGACCGAAAGATGGTTCCATTCAAATTGACCAATCTAAAATTGACCAGGGATTATAATCAGAAAATGATATGCAAGGCCAATGAGATTTATCACTGATTTTTTTTGTTTTTTTGAGCTTTGCATACAAGCATTTTCTTAAATGAATACTTATCATTATTGGTTAAAGATTGCTATGGAAACTTATCAGTAACTCCAATATTATCACCACCAAATAACTGTGAAGTGATAAAATCAAATAACCTGCAAGTACTGTTGAACATTTCATGGAAGAATATATTGCAAGCCAAGTTACTTAAGTCTAATATGTAGTTTGAGTACAATATGTTATTATCAGTTGGTAAGATGATCAGTGAAAATCGAGAATTAGGAAATCGTAAGGAAATTTGAGAAGATAAGGAATTAAATCTTTCAATCAAATGGTTGAATTATGTTGGCTGATGGAAGTAAAATCTGATAATGAGAGGACATTATCGCTATCAAATAAATTTCATACTTTAACATTTATCAGGATTGATGGGTGCACCTGTTCATTAACCGTTCTAGAATAAGATGAAGAAGGTGGAAGAATCTTTAAATGACAATATTTAATTGTTTCTTTCTCTTTCTCTATCAGGAATGTTTACAACTGAACTACTGATAGCCAGAAGTTGTTATCATAGCAATTTTATCATCCACGAAAATTCATTCCATTAATGACAATGGAAGTTAGTTTTTCCGTTTTATCCGCTTCAATTCATCATATCAATGGAATAATTTAAATTTGATAACACATCAAAGAAATGAATCAGCTAGAGTTTATAAACGACAGTTGAACTGGTTTTATTTTCAACTTCAGGAATAATTACACCCGCTAACAATATTAGCTAGGCATATTGAAGGATTGAAAAGTGAAGATTGATATATGTTTAAGACATTTCAGCTTTCTTTCATCCATAGTATTATCTTTTCATTTTCAAGATTATTTGATTTTAATGCATTGAACATGAAAATTTGTTAAGTTAAGCAGTTTAAATTTCGTGAATGAAATGAGGGAAATTTGCTTTCATAAAATTTAATTTTGATAATTCATTTTTGCAATGAATTGAGTGGTTTAAAGCACAGTAGGATATATCTTCCGGAAGCTTTAAACATGCCGAAAAGATACTGTTACATTTTAATTCATTAACACCAGGTGGTGTAAACTACCAATAGCGCCAGTATCAAGTTTAATGAGTGGATTTTTTTGATAGTTGACATCATGAGATTTGTTCAAAATAATGGTATCATAAGCTTACGCCTCTGTATGCAATTATGTTATTAATTAGAAATTTACTCGTAATTTCTCCAGTTCAATATAATTAAATTTCATGGTTTAATAAACTTTGCGAACTATATTTCAAACAAACACTCACTTCTAAATCAATCTTATCATACAATGCAATAAACATCATTTACATTGAACTTGATTGGAAACTTTAGAAGTATTAATTATTTTACAATATATTTCATAAGGCTTATTAAGTTATAAAATTTATTTGAAGTAATCAGCTTATTTAAAAACGAATAGTGATTACCGTTTTAGAGAAAAATAAAATCATATCAAAAACTGATATTAGGTAATGATAGAGGAAGCTGTAATGTATAAAAATTTTCCTTAAGTTTTATTAAATACTTTGCATTATTTGTAGGAGTTATGTTGCAATGCTTTACAATTAATTATCAAAATGAGGATTAAATTTTACATAAATGTTTTCATTTCGTTTTTTTTTTTTTCTTTTACTCAATGAAAAGAATTCAGAACAATTAATGAATTCGAAGAGGCGACAAAAGAGATTTCAGCCATTTTAAAGAAGTAGCAAGCATAGCTTTGAGTAAGTCTTACTAACGTCATGTACTGGAATTTAGACGTCTTACAGATTTGTAGATGACTTTTCACGTCAATAAATTGCTTATTGGTAATATCTGATTGTAAGCCAATAATCATTAATTGTCAAATAATCGAAAGAACTTCTTACTTAATGCAACTTTTAAAATTGTTAACAAACCAACAGATGAAGGAATAAGTTTTTATTAATGATTCAGAGGAAAATTGAATAGGAAGTATATTGTATTGCTGATAAACTTAATCAATTTATTCAGCTAATCATTGTTTGCTAAAAGGAGTAAGTGCAGTAAATAGATAGAAATATAAATAAATTTATAATATGAAATATAAATAAATTATACATATGAATTTCTGTATGCTAACAAAAATTCATTTGCTCAACACTGCAAGTATTTTTTTACAGGAAATGCAGGTATGATAAAATATAAGCAGACAATGTTACCATAAGTAATGTTAAATAGAGCATTGTTTGGGTGATAAAGAAGCAAAGTAAATAAATAATGGAATATTTGTTATTTTGATATAATAGTTTAATGTTTTAAAAAATTCGCTTTGATTTCAAAAAAGAAAAAAAAAGAAAGGAGCATCTGATGATGCATCAATCGGCGAAGTAAAAAATTGAAATGTTAACAATGATAATAAACGAAGACAAAACAATCATTTTATAAAAGGTTTCTTGAAAGTAACCATTGATCAGTTGCTAGTAATGGAAAATACTGCTATTGTTGCTATTCTAATTTGCGCCATTTCTGCGGCATTTGCTCAATTACCTGTGCCATATTTTGAAAGACCGGATATGATCACCACGAATACAAGATGCATCGGTATTCTCTTCTCTTTTTTCCTTTTTCATGGCATATTAATAGTAACAATAATAATAGTAAATACAAAGTAAAAATTAGAAGATAAATTATTTGATTAATAAATCAAAATGGTATCACATATAAATATTATCAAAAATTATTACATCCAAATAGCTTCTTAAACTTCAAAATTTATTTAGCTTTGATAAGTTTACCATTTGTTTCACCAGCTAGTTCACAAGTGACGTTTTATGATTGTGTAAAAGTCAAAATTGGTAAGATGATACTTAAGCCAAGTAAACAAAGTTATGTTATTAACTTTGAATTTCTCTATGCAAGAAATACAACATTTCTTTGATTCAAATTATTGTAGAGAAAGAGTATGAAAATTAAAACTAATGACAATCCTTTTAGCTTCAACACTTCTGTACAAAATCAAAATTAAGCTATCTTAGCTTTAAAAAAATATTTTTTTTTGTTTTATTACTACTTTTATTTTGGTATTTTTCGTATATTTTCCCGAAACAGCAAGAAAGTTACGACATGAAATTTAAAACATGAAAAGAAGTGTCAAGTATTCAAGATTTTCGTACAAACAGTTGTAATATTTTAACAAAAAAATCAATAATAATTTATAAAACTGAAAAATTAATTGCTATTTATATATAAAACAACAACGTTTATTGTTTTTATTGAAATTATTTACTTTATGCCACATTAAATTCAATTAATTTTACTCTCTAATTTTGTCTTAATGACAGGCTATCACAATCTTATCCGCTTCTTTACTCAAGCGGAATACTGGAAAAGATTACGAAAAAGTTTTTAGCTGTAACAAAATGATTTTAGCTCAATCAAATTCAATAAAATTGGCCTATCATAAGCCAAAACTGTGATTTTTATTCGAAATATACCTTGAAATGCTCACAACAAACGCAACAAAAATTAGCATTGTTTATAAAATTAATCATTTCAACTTTATTCCACAAATGCTCCAATGATGATTATCGTTAAGTGAAGAAAATTGTTAGACGCTTTTGCTTTTTTTGGATGTAAAAAATGACAATGCTGAAAAATGGGAAAAAAAGTGAAATATTCCGAATCTTTCATATCTATAAGTACCATAAAAATAATGATTAGAAAGATGTATGATAAGTTTTATGGTTATCAGTAATTCAAATATATCTGATGTTTCTTTTTAACTAGCATGGCTTTAACTAATCTTTTCAAAGATTTTGCCCTTCTCAACTTTTCTCGAATAGCAGTTCGAGAACTACTGTTCAAGATTACTACAACCTGAAAATAATTTGGGAAAGATTTAGGACCAATCATTTCCAGCATGTACAAGGGCAGCAGCTTTTCGAACGAACATTGATGGCCAAGACACAATTGCCCAATGTTCATCTGGGAACGATGTTAGAGATCGATGCCAAGGATGCTGTGAAGTTTATGCCATTTACAATGGAAGACAAAAAGTGCTCTTAATTATATTTTATTTGAAATGAAATTTTTGCGGGATTTATAATTTGAATCATTGGACTGATCTACTTTAATGTTTGGCCTTCAAATGTCTTATTTGAGAATGACAATAAAAATTGTTTATCAAAGAATTTAAAAAAAAATTTGGACAAAACTTTTTGTTTTTTGTTTCACATTTTGCTTGACTTCAATGAACTAATTAAAGTAAAGTTTAACTTCATAAAATCGAAATAAAATAACTATTTTGTTCATTATTATTAGTAAAAAAGGAAAATACATTGAATTTTATTTCAATAGAATTAATTTCAGGCTGAAGCGGCTAGTTTCCCCAGCAAAGATGGAAGCTGTATTTGCTGCATGACATGTTGATTGATCCATTAATCGTCATTTCATAAATCTAATCGATCCCTGATATCACTGATTTATGAGCATTTATTGTTTGAGTAACAATAATTTGATTTTGCATTTGCTTTTCATTTACACAAATATTGCAAAAAATCTTTCGAAAATTATAGTTGAGAGATAACACTTGTCTCTCCATCCATACTTTACCTGTAAGTTCTTTAGTTGTTCAGTTGTCGTCTTACAGCTAGCTATCCTGTGTTATAATTATATTGTCACCAAGTCTAGCTACTTGTATTGTACTAGGCTTCAGGCCCTACCAGAAATAACTTGTTCTAAAGCTGAAGGTCAGATGTCACAGAACGATGCACTACCGCATACCAACAATCAGTCAGTATTAAATCATATTGATCTCTACTTTATTTGAAACGAAAATCCCGTAAAAAAATAAGAACAATTGAAACTATATTAAAAAAAAAAAAAACACCAAATCAGTGAATATTAAAATTTTAAAGAAATGTGCTGAAGTATATTTACCAATTAACTTAATAATGAAATTAGCACAGTGAAATCCATCACTCACAATATGAGTTATTGATAGCTTTCAGCTATTCCGAGGATCAAAATTTGACAATAATTATAAAATATGACTTCTTTCTTACCTTAAATGTTTGAAAAGAATTTTTCAGAGTTCTGAAATATAGCTTTTACTTTGTTTCGGACAAGTTTCGTTTTTGTATCTATGAGATCTAAAAATCCCTGAATTTCATTCGTTTATGGTTTATGTAATCAGAAATCTGAGCTTGCAGACATCTGTAATAGACCTAGAATGAATGTTAGATGGATAGTTCTAATGAATGTGGAATTATCAAACATTTTATCAAAGTTAAAGTTTATATATCAATTGAGTGAATGAAAGAAGGAAAGAAAAGTAAAGCTTACAACTTTTTAACATATTATTATCCAAATTATCGCTCTAAATTAGTACGAAAAGCAAAAAAATTCCACGTTTACTATGTGCGAGAAAACGGTAATTATATTTCAAAGATTTGTAATTTAAAAATTTGAATTGCTAAATTTAAAAAATTCACTGAAATGAAAAACATGCAAAATCAATTCAAGCTAAGTCTTTCATCCTATAAACAATGAATGTGTTAATTACTTTCGCCATTTCCTTTAGTCTCTAGAAAATAGTAATTATATTTCAAACATTTGTAATTCAAAAATTTGAATTGTTAAGTTTAAAAGATAGTACAGCTCATCAAACAGTTACCACAAAAAGTTTTAAGTCGAACAAAGTTCATTTGATAAAATTTGCCGGGAAAAAGAAAAACAAAATGTATCAAATTAAATCTGTTATTAATTGTCACATTAAAATGATTAACTGACAAATTTTGTTCTGACACAACTAATTAGCAAACATTTGAGGCGAACATAATTGATACCATATGTATCATTTTAAAACTCATAGCACTTACAAACATGAAAACTTTAACTCCATTCCTTGCTATTAACAATTAGCTTAGTTAAATTTCAATACCTTAAAGTGAAGTTTGACTAGTGGACTCGAGACTGGAAATACTAACAAAAGTTAAATTGCACCTTTAATCATCTGTTATATCCTTGTTTAACTACCATGTATGAACTATCATCACTCATAGATTAAAGTAAACAGAATGCTACAACATTGATATATCCCCTCCAGATAGCATATTTAATTAACGGGACAAGGTTACTCATCCAACCATTCGATAGTCACCAAAACTGCCAGCCAGTGTCGCTCGCTGTGTTAGTACGAAATGCCACCAACAAAGTTCGTTTGATTGTAAAAGAATGCATTTCCTTGTTGCAGCACTTATTGAAATCGTCGTGGGTGGTCCAATTGGTGTGGCATCAAGACGGATAGCCATTTGCGAATTTCTGCGGTATATTTGTTTACGATTTCGCATTGATCTTTGCTGGACCACCCACGATGCTTCATTTTCAGTATCTGTTACTGCAACGGTTATCTATGCACCAGCAGCCACCATAGTTGATTTCGTTTACATCAAATGCGGTCAGTACTCCATGCATTTTTGCAACTGCACAATCATCACTGCATGCAATTTGTTTTGTTTTGCATACATTTGAAATTGATGAAATTAATTTTGTCTCATCATAGCTCTGCAAGAAAATTTATAAAATTCATAAATATTATTAACATTTTAAATTGTGGTATTTCCTTATATGATAACCTTTTCATAGAAAGTTTGCGCTTTTAAAAGGATTTTTTGATGATATATGCAATGTATTATTGAAAATTATATTTATAATAACTAGCACATGTTACAATGTTGTTAAATTATGCATATCGATGGAATATTTAAATGAATAGACAAAATATATGAATCATAAATTTGAAAGTGTTATCATTTTTACATGAATCAAATAAATTTTACACTTTTAAACTATTATTTTAACAATAAATACAATAATTACTTATAGCATTATCCTTAATATGAAATTGTCCTAATTTGAAATTATGAATTGTCACTGGGATAGAAATGTGACTCAAAGTTGAGAGAAATTATGAGTGATAAATTCATGAAGAGTTCAAACTGAGTGTGTTTTCTCTTTTCTTTTTTTTTTTTTTTGCATGAGACTGATAAATTGTTCTATAAGTTCTTCAATTATATCTTTATATATCATTGAAAACATCGAGTATCGTAATTTAACAATAGGTAACATCAGGTAATAGTTTTGGATCACAGAATAATCGTGAAACACTCTCTTTAACTTTAACTTTAGTTTATCGTTTCGATTTATTCGTCCCAAATAACAGAAAGTTTAAATTTCATATTTGGATAAAATATTCCTTATTTCTATTGAATTAAAATTAATATTTTTTGAAATCAATTCGTCTTTTCTGCTGAATTCTAAAATTTATCAGTCAGGTCGATCTCAAATTTTGATTAGCAAAATTATGCAAAGTGTCGGGTGTGATGCAAGAAGTAGCGAATGATCTAAGTAGCAATGTTTTGCTCTCTCAAATTAAATATAACTTTGACGTTATTCAATCAAAACATCTGCGATACACTAAAACCTATTACAAACTACCGATCCTTATTACATTTCAAAAACGAGTTCTCTAAACTATCAAATACTGATTGCTGATAATAATACTAATACTAATACTAATAATAATAATAATAATAAACAATGATAATAATAATAACAATGATAATAATAATAATAATAATAATAATGATAATAATAATAATAATGATAATAATAATAATAATAATGATAATAATAATAATGATAATAATAATAATAATAATAATAATAATAATAATAATAATGATAATAATAATAATGATAATAATAATAATAATAATAATAATAATAATAATAATAATAATGATAATAATAATAATAACAATGATAATAATAATAATAATAATAATAATAATAATAATAATAATAATAATAATAATAATAATAATGATAATAATAATAATGATAATAATAATAATAATAATAATAATAATAATAATAATAATAATAATAATAATAATAATAATAATAATAATAATAATAATAATAATAATAATAATAATAATAATAATAATAATAATAATAATAATAATAATAATAATAATAATAATAATAGTAAATAATAAATAATAATAATAACAGTAATAAATAATAACAAATAATGATGAGGTTTGTGAAAAAATTTAAAATCCGAATACCACACCAAATGTATTTTACTTCTTCGCAAATCCAATTATTTAAGGTTTTGAAATTTTTGAAAATTAAAATATCTTCTTTTGAATTCTTTTTAGAAAAAAATGAATCAGTAAGATAAAAGAGAAGAAATTCAGACCGAAAAATCAAAATAATTGTCCAAAGAATGATAATGCTTAAAAAATTTCTTTTCTTCCTTTTTTCCATTATTTCAATAATTAATAAAATTTTAAAACTGAAACTTCTATTACCACCTTCTTTTCTTTTTTTTGTCGCAACCGTATGCTATTAATTTTACTTCTTCCTGTCTGAATAACTTTGCAAAAAGGTAAGCGATTGAATTGTGTATAATCGATTGCTTCAAACAGCTTTCAATGAAATATTTGTTGACACTTAGTACATCAACTATGTCAATTCAATGATATGAATTCAATGCAATATTGCATACACATATAAACGCATGAACACATATATTTTGATAATATCTGTTAAAAATTAAGTTAAAATCAATTGTTCTGCATCAGATGTTTAATTTCATATTTTGTTTTTATCAAATAATTATTGTATATTTTTGAGTAAAAATTCTATAGAAACTCTATTGTAATAATAAAAAATGAGGCATCGCTGCTATCAAAAATATTTCTAAATTAGTTGTTCCGAGATATTTTCTTGTTTTTTTTACTGATTGTTCCAACAGAATTTGATGAGAAATCGAGTATAACTGAAACGATTAACCGAGACGAACGAGTTAGAATGGAAAGCGAAGAGAATTAAAGAGGAAATGGAAAGAAATAAAAAATTATTAACTTTGTTGTTATTTGTTATACTCTTTCGTTACTTCTCTCATTTCTCTTCTCAGAGTTTTCAGACAGTGACAGTACTCAGATTTTAAACTTCAAAATTAGCATCACTAAATCAAATAGTTTTGTTTGTTTCTAACATTACTTCTTCCCATTCCATATCTAACTCTTAGCTTATCACATAGCAGCAATCAGTCAGGTAACACTTGAAATCTAATTACATCAAAACCGAAATGCAGTACTGCATGAATTTAAATAATTGTAATATAACATTGTCGCCACAATAATAATAATAATTTATAAATAATAATAATGATAATAATAATAAATTTATTTTTCCATTCACCAGTCTGTCTTTATTTTCCAGTTATATTCTTGTAACAAACTTATTGACAAAAGCTTTAATAACAATGAGATTAGGTAAGAATTCTTTTCCATTTTCTCTTGCCATGCAAAATGGAAGTTTGCACTAGTCTAGTTGACATTTCTTGCCGGAACTTAGTTATGTTCATATGCTATTTTGCAGTTTGCTAAAGTATATCGGTTAGGACAATTTGTTTGTACTACTGGAAGAAGACAAAGAAGGTTAGTGCTTTGAACAAATGAATTTAAAACGTTTTGAATCTTTTTTTGAACTACCTGCTAACACAATGCTAAGTTTTGAAAGCATTTCTTCAACGAATAATTGAAATTGCTGTTTAAAGAATCTTTATGAATATTCACTCAATTTTTTGAAGCATTTTTAGGACAGAAACAAGCCTAGTATATAGCAGACTTATCCGTAATTTCTGCTGAACAAGATGGCAAATTTGGTGACAATTCACGTCCTTTCATTTTTGATGGTGTAAAAGTTATCCAATACTTGGAATTCTGGAGTGGGAAATCCTGAAACGAGTAAATCAACCACTATAAAAACATGTAATTGGTTGGAAAGCTTATACTTTCATTTGATCTTAGGCATTTGATTGTTCCCGCATTTTCTGATCCTTATGAATAATGCAACCGGGAATGTCGTCTTTCTCGTCAATCGATGCTTTTTGTAAAATTGACATTCTTTAAGCTGTATGGATCAACACAATGCTTTTTTTTTTTCGTGACTGGTTACGGATATGTTCCGGTATCTACGGGTTGTAAGGTATGTATTTGAATTTATTTTATCAGTTAAATGCCAGATATATTGTAATTAGTGGTGAATAGACAGACTTTTCGCTTTGATAGTAGATCTGCCGACAAAGTTCTCTTCTTAGTAGATTGAATTTTAATTTAAAAATTTTAAATAAAATAAGACGAGAAATTGAGCATATCATTGCTGCTAGTTATGTAGAAAAATGATATGTTAATTAACATACAGTGATAAACAGTCTATCTGTTTATCTTATCTATCTTGTATACTTCACATTGGGAATGAAATTTCTTAATCGAAAATTTTTATTTAAAAAAAGAAGTCTTAATTTTTGCTTTATAAATGCAGCAAAAATTGTTAGTCCATTGGCAGTTTAAAATAATTTTACAGTTTGCTGAATAAATCTCATATGACAACAAATTTGAGTACTTAGAATTAAACTTATGTATTGGTTTTATCAATAATTTTTTTGATTATATCGTTCCAAAAACTTTTCAGTTTTTAAATTTAAAAATTTTCGTTTTGACATTTATTGTTAGTTATATTTCTTTTTTTTTTTTTGTTCACATATCTTCGTTACTTGCTTCATACTGTTTAAAAAAAAAGTAATTTTGAATATAATTAGATATAGTTGCTTTTGTTTACAGAATTTTAGCTTACTGGTTTATTTATTTTATAGAAGCTAATGCTAACAAGTAAGAATGCAACAATATTAAATTTATCCTAATTTCAACAAATTCCGAAATTCAATAAAAAAGGTTTGAAACATGAAAAAAATTAAATTGAACCTTTTTTGATTATAAATGTGATCAAATAATTCATTGCAGTGACATTAGTGTCACCTGCATTTCAGTATGATAATTATGTTATAGTAATTAAAGTATTGCACTGATTTAGGTGTGAAAAAATGTTGAGCTATTATTCTGAAAGATAAAATAATAAGATTTAAATAGTTACTTGCAAATTTTTATTTATCTGATCAAAATTATAATGCCTTCTAAAACATAAAATATCACCGATATAGTAAAACCAAAAAATTATAATTAGACAATAACAAATAGAAAGGTTATTTAAGGAGTGAAATCGAGTTATTACAATCATTTTCGGTGTAATTTGTACTAGTGCAGTTGCTTGACATTATCTCTATAATAATTGTCATTTTGGTGCGACAATATCCTATCGTCCTATTGTCTCTAAACAAAGTGGAAGAGTTTTGTTTGTTGTGTGTTGTTAACGTAAACTATCTCTCTTAATTCCATTTTAATTTTCTTTTTTTTTCTTTCTTTTTTTTTTTTTT